ACACACACATACATATAATGGTGTGTGTATTTTGTGTACATGGGATGCAGGTGTGTCTCTTATTTTTGCCCATTACAGAGGCAACAGAAGCTATGCAGAGGAGGAGCTGCTTTGAAACTGAGGCACATTCTTAAAAGCAGAGCCAAACAAACAGGCACATGGGAACAGTCTGCAACGCTTGGGCCAAAACTCAGCCCATAAAATGTCCAAGTCACTTTTTCCACACTCAGCAACTCCTGATGTCTTACAGAAATGCTAAGAGGGGGGGGGGGGGGTTAAGTGACAAGGGAAAAGAAGGATGAAGTCAGAAAACGGGGGCAGGAAATAGGAAGAAGGGCAGAAAATAAACCACCTTAATAGACCAGGAGCCTTAACCCATTAGCGAAGACACCATGTTGCTCCACACAAACACAAGCTCACCCACTGCAGACCAAGACCAGGTCTGCATGAAGAGCAAGAGAGGAGACCGACGGAAAGGGAGGTGAGACAAAAAGGCAGGACATGGATGACAGTGCGGCATTTCCACTACGGTGGTGCAGCCGGTGACACATTCAATTTTGTGGCTTTGCACAAATTAACTCGCCAAACCAAAGCCACAGCATTAACCTTAGAAAATGAAATGAAATCACCACAATCACAGGCCAAAACAGCAATTATGAGCTCACAAAGCAGTACGACGAAATGTTTTTTTTTTTTTTTTTACATTTATTGCATTATTTTATTTGGGTTTTGTTCACAACAGTTTTGAACAGCTGAATTTTATGAACACAGTACACTTAAAAACTTTACACACAAGGAGGGTGTGCATCAGTGCAAATGAGATGCAAAACGAACCCCTCCAAGCCTGCGTAACCAGGAAAAACAAGCAGGGAGGGCAAGAGGAGAAACCTCAGTGGTGCACTCCAGAAAAAAAAAACAGCTCCTTTGGTAATTCTTGTTTTTGTAAACAACTTCAGTGGCTACACTTATCGAAACACACATTATACTAACAAGAAATGATTTTACAAGTTTATACCCGACTACAAAACAAACTAACCCACTTCATCTCAAAGTTAAATCAATGATTTTCCTGAACTGCTTTCTTTAGAAAACAATTATTTGCCCACAACACACATACGCTCTCTCTGGTCCCCCTCCCTGTCTTAGAGAAAAACAGGAAAGTTTTCCACATTGTTTAAATCACAACACATGAACAAGCAGCTAGGAGGCTCCATGTTTGTTTTAAACAAACAACAGACGTATTATCTGAACGAGCTGGCAGAAAGAAGCKGAGGAAGTGTGGAAATGATTACCTAGCCACATCTAGCCAGCACCAAGCAAGCACCACTGCAAGCCTTCGCACCGCCCTCTGCGTGGACTGTCGCTGCAGACTATTACATGCAAGTCAAGAGAATACACTCTTTTATCAATGTCCYTTTCACAATGAGTCTTTTTCTGATTGAAACTGTAGCCCAACACAGAGAACGTTGGTTCTCTATATAAAATGGTCCTATTATAAAACTATTCCATTTAGTAGGCTGTCAAAAGGCGATGCAGACGTTTGAATTACTTGGACTTATCTAAAAAAAATCTTTAAACTGAGGTACAGAACTGAAAGGTTCTCAACACGCAGTGGGTGTTTCTTTACATTTGGCACAGACCACTTTAATGTTTACACCAGTTTCCCTGCTGGTCGACAAGCTTGAAACGGTGATGATTTCTCATCCTGTTCCTGTTCAACAGTACAGCCATATGACTTGGCTCGGTTGCAGACATGACAGACTCACAAAGCAYCTAGGGATGTCCTGATCAGATACTCAGTATCGTATCGGTGGCAGATATGAACATTTTTTGAAAATCGGGTAGAATCGGATTTATTCATGCGATCGGGCCGATCCAGTTTTCACGACAGTTTTCAGCATCGTCGTGCTTTACAGCTGCCGTTAAGAAGTCAAGACGCACACAAGTATGCAACCATGTCRACAGTGTGGGAACACTTTTCAATGGAAAACAATGATGCTGAAACTGCATCTTGCAAAATCTGCAAACTGGATGTTTCTCGTGGTGGGAACAGCAGGGCTCYCTTTAATYCTACCAACCTTGTCACTTGGAAAGAAARAAAGCTATCGGATCYGTATCAGATRGYTYTCGGAAAGACTAATCATTAAAAAAATCGGATTGTATCGAGAGCCAAAAAATCTGGATCAGGACATCCCTAAAAGCAACAACACTCATTAACTCAGCTTTTAGATGTGATCAGCAGAAATTCAGAATGGGCTACAGATTCATTCTTACTTTGATACTTTTTTTTTTTTCAGTTTTGATCCCTAAAAAAACAAAACACTGATGGGTTCAAAAATAAGTTGTCTGTAACAGGTCTCTTCGTTCTCACCTTGACAGTCAGCCTACTATTAATGATTTGTTCAACTTAAGTGTTATAACTGATACCTTCTGTAGTTTGAAGATAGTTTAATACCCAACCCTGTCCTCCAAACCCTTAATTTTAAACGTCAAACACCTAGACCTGACATCCAACTCTAAGCGTAACCTCTGACCACTGGCTCTAACCCTAACCTTAACTGAACCCTAGGCAAGGACACAGAAATGCATGGGTGCACAATGATAAGCACATGAGTACAGACAGAAGCCACTGACATCAAGAKACAAAGGCTCCTCGTGATGCACCAAGCATTTCACCACAACTACCCAGAGACTGTACAGAGAAATGAGGAAGAAGAATAGTGGACAACAGTCATTATAAGGACATCAAAAAGAAGGTCCTCATTAATGAACTGCTAATGTAGAAAAGGAAACACAGGAGACATCATGGACAGACAAGCCCTTGCTACAGTGTGTACCATCAGAATGAAGAGGTATCTGATATCAACAAATCCTACTTTCTAGAGAGGGATGGACAGAAGTACAGAACAGAGACACTAATCAGTGCAGCACAAGAGCAARAGATGATGGGATCTACCGTACCAGTCCAACACAAAGGTGCACACAGATCTCAGCAACCAAGTGGCTAGAATAGTATGCAAGAACATCTGTGCAAAGTGGATGACCCCGTGAATGAGATAACAGAGCTAAGATACTGTGGCAAACAAACCGGACATGTGGTGGTCGACATGCTACAGAAGAAGAAGCTAGAGGTGACACATACAGCAATCCTATGACTGTATCTGGAAGAAGATCGAGAAGCTAAAGAAAGAAGGTCTGAAAGAGGAAAGGGTGACAAGTCGAGGCCTCGGTAGTCCCATGTGTTCATCAGAGCTCGTGGTGCTGTGACCCTCAGATCCCAGGACAAATGTCAAAGACCTCCGTCCAGAAGACCACAGTCCTAAGACTCTGAGCAGAACCCTCAAACTTCCAGACCTCTGCTTGAGGACCAAGATGGACTTGGCCAAGTGAGAAAATAGGGCGAGWTGGGTGCTATGTGTTTACTCTTGAAACAAAAACAGCCAAGCYCCTGCAAGTTCAAGCTTTTCTACTRCTGATACTACTTTACACTGTTATAGCACAACCTAAATTTTTAAATATTTAGCTTTTTTTTCTATACAGCAACTTTAGGCATGCTACAAATAAAACAGCACATTACAAAATAAACACTGTACTTGCATGTGCAATTCTTTAGAATAGTAAAATAACAAGTTTAAGCTCATTATTGAAGATAAATATGATACATAGTACACAGTCTGGTGTTTTAAGAAGGGGCAAAGGACATAAGCTGWTGTTGTAGCGTGGTGTTTGGTGTTCTATTAATAAACTGTGGATCCTGGTGAGCAGTTTTTTCCACAGCAAACAGGCCCTCGGCATAAAGACAGAACATGTTATAGTGAAATGATTTAGGTTAAGGCGTTTCGCCCCTAAGACACACCGAGGGGTCGAGTCAACATTAAAGCACCGCGTTCACTCAGCTGCGGACTTTCATTATCCGGCAAGAGCTTTCGGTTCAGACACAACAAAAACAAGACCCTATAAGCCCCATAAGACGCACACAGGGTCCTGTAAATGTCCCCATCTGCGGCTGCAGCCTCCCCAGTCCTTTCCCCGTCTCCCCGGCGCGTCCCACCCCTCTCGACCAGAACCACCAGCCGTCCTCCCCCCGGATTTAGTTTCCAACACAGCGGGCCCCTCACATTCCACAGCTAATGTGTCGTAATATCAAGTAAAGTTGCTCACATCTTTTTTTTTCTATTATCTTTATTATTCTCGTGTTTTTTTTTTCCGTGGAGCGCGCAGAGGCAGGAACTTTCCCCGCATTATTCACGCAAACGAAGAAGAATACATCTCTCACCTCCTCTCTTTCTGCTGAGGGTTCACGTCCTCCTCCTCCGTCGGTGGGCTCTCTCTGATGGTCCTTTTTTTATTATTTCTCCTCCGTTTCTCCCTCTTGGCTTGTTTCTGTTTCTCCTCCCTCCTCTCAAATGCCTCTGGTCTCCGGCAGGGGGGGCGGGTGGAACCGGGAGACGCTGCTCCGGAAACAAACGCTCCTCTTTTTTTCCCCCACTCTATAAAATCACTGCATTCGTCTGTTTTTTTTTTTCTACTACCGCTTTGATTTTAGTTGTACACTGATATCAACCCATTTTTAATTACCAAATGTCGCTTTGCTTTATTGCAGGTCATGGCCCTGTGCAAAAGTTTTAAACCACACATTTCTTTGCTTATAATATTCAATTTCTTAGTGGTTCACTGTACCCAAGGATGAAGTGGTGAGGTGAAGGTCTAAATAAAAACATGTGTGCTTTATCTGAGAGCATAACAAAAAGTCCTGTACATCTGTGCTYTGTGAAAATGGCTCCATAATAAATATAGTTCTTGAAGCAGGAAAGATGCATCTGTATGCTGAAAACATATAAATCTCAGCTGGTCGCTGTCTCAGAGGACCTTTATTATTTTTAGATTTGTATTAATGACTGCTGAGAATTCTCATGTGAGACAAGTCTTTATTTCTACCCTGGATGTGTCTGTCTGGACAGATGCTCCAGCTCCCCCTTTTTCAAGGTTTCAGAGCAGAGATGCGTCACTATACTACAGAGACGCAAGAAGGTTCATTTATAGCCCGACTGATTTTTTTTAAATATAAAACTTATTGATGGTAGTTGTTTATTTAGTGTATGTACAGTTTTATATGAATTTATCTTTTTATGAATTAGTTTAAATTGTTCATCCTAAATAAGTGATTAAATATAAAAATAGAAATTAGCAGTTTCATTGTTGAATCTGCTGAAGAAAGAAAGGCAGTAAAATCTGATAAAATACTGACCCCTGGTGGTCATTCTATCTATCTATCTATCTATCTATCTATCTATCTATCTATCTATCTATCTATCTATCTATCTATCTATCTATCTATCTATCTANATCTATCTATCTATCTATCTATCTATCTATCTATCTATCTATCTAATCTCAACCTGATGTATTTTATGTGCAGTTCCTCTCCAGGCCGACAGGCGGCGCTGTTCTGACAGGGACACAACCTATCGACCAATCATCCGGATGCGTCATTTTGAACTGGAAGCGCGAGAGGTTTAGGTTTTCATAAGAAAAAAAAAAGTTGTTTCAATCTGCGTAAGTACAAATGGCGATGTTATTTTTTTTAATGCATATAATCTGCCATTTTTAGATGTTTCGCGAAGGAGGCTCGCAAAGTTCGTGAGTCAGTGCGGATAAATTGTTGAGATTTTTACTCTTGTTTTTGTTTGGCAACGCTAGCTAGATTGCTTTACCTGAATTTAGTAAGTGAAGTTTATTATTATTTTTTTTTTAGACCGGTGTGGTTCGTTATCTGTCGCCCACAGGTGAAATTATGAGCACGAAGCATTCAAAGCCGGTACTTCTGAAGACCTACGGTAAACAGAGGCGGAAGATACCCGCCTGGATTTTACCGGAGGACCGTAGAACGGCCTTCGACAGCACCCCATCATGTGACGAGGATGTGTCCGTGTTCCAACCCGCAAAACCCTCCAAGAAGACCCGGTGTGTTCACATTACATCAATATGTGCAGCCTACTTCACAACATAGTTTAACCTGTTCAGCTTGTTTAGCAATAACAAGGTCATTATGGTTAGAAAGAACTGCAATAATTAAAATGTATTTATTTATTTATTGTAGTTCATATCTTAGACTAAAATACTGAAACTCTGTGTTTATTATGGTTTTATTTAGTCATAAAGTCCCAGCCAGCAATACACAAATTATTAAGACTAAAAATAGTCAATATAAAGAAAAAAGTAAATATTTTGCTGAGCGCTCTGTTTTTTTTTAGAACATCGTTTGTTTGTAATTTCACAGGGGGAAAAACATTTGCAAGTGTATGGGTATTTTTTTAACAGAACATTTTCCCTGGTTTGTTGTTTCACAGAGAGGAGCACACAGAGGCAGGCAGAGGCAGAAAAGTGCGTTCTGCCAAGAGAAAAGCCAAACTACGTCTGGCTGAGAAGAGTGACAGTGAAGAGAACATTTCCCCTCTCAAGCCTCAGCCTTTTGTTCAGAATCAGAACACCAGGTCTGGAGATTAATCTGCAGCTAAAATAAATTAATCGTTTAAAAAAAAACAATAGGTGCATTTCATTATAATAAAACTTTCTTTTTTGTTGTTAACAATTTGGAATAAGATTTATTCTTTGAGACTTTTGCTGGCATGGAGAGTTTTTTTTAAATTGTGCAGTTTCAGCATTGATTTCTGCTTTTCTGAAATTTTTTGTGTGTTCACAGGAAAAGCCGTCTTGCGTCTGCACCTGTTCTCAGGAGTCAGAGAGGTCAGGTCCTCTCTGTCAGCAGTGAAAGTGAAAAGGAATCATCTGCGCCTAAAGGCCGGAAACCTTCTGCGAAAATGAACAACTCCAAGTAGGTTTTTGTCAGGTTGTTGGTGTCATTATAAAAATGGCCGAGAGTATCTGTGACTCTGCTGTGAAGATTGCATTTTTTTTTATTTACTTCTCTTTGTCAGTGGTCGCTATGCATCTGCTGGTCGTTTCGTAACCCGTCGAAGATGTGCAGCTTCCACCAAACCCCCTAAAGCAAGATTAATTACGCTTGACTCTTCAGATGACTTTACCTCTGGAATGTTTGGTCCCAGCGGGATTCACCGACCATCCAGGAGGAGGAGGCACCGGCCAGCGGTTAAGCTATCAAGTACAGATAGCTCAGTGAACACTGTGAGAGCTTCCAGCTTTACAAACATTCCCTTTCGAGAAATATCCCTCAATGAGTCGGGCGACCACGTCTTGGGACCCTGCTCCAGGCAGCCCATCTTCTGCTCCACGCCCTCAGCAGCCTCTTTTGCCAAACAGGGACGCTCTAAAACGTTTGCTCCTCGACGTCAGGCCAACTCTCCATCTGTGTCGGACAGCTGTATCTGTATCTCAAACACTTTTCAAGAAGACCTGATTTCACCCCGGCAGCCCTTCTCACCGCCACAGTCTACATCGCCATCTGTATGTTTAGATGAGAGGCTGCAGCTCATAAAAGTGCAACCTCCTAATTTAAATACTGAGTCTAAAGGAGGTAGCTGCAGTGGAGGAGACAAAAACCCGAGTGGAGACTCGAAGGCCAACTGTGATGTTGGATTACTCAGTGGAGATGTTTTCTCTGCAGACAGTGAAATGACTGACAGCAATCACTTTGTGTCTGCAGCAGGAGGGCTAGAGTGGCTAACTGAGGCTCTGAAGAGAAAATGTCTGAGCCAGCGCTGCAAAGTTCAGCTGGAGAGATTATCCTTCCTCCCTGTGACTCAGCTTTGTAGTCAGACAACCTACTCATCCTGTTTGGAGCAGTCTAGCTCAGCCAAAAGCCAGCGAATTGAAGAACTGCTTCAGTTTGTGGACGGCAGTCAAAATGTTGCTTTTCCTCAGTCATTAGCAGAAACATGTTRTTCTGTGACAAATAATGAAAACGGTGATTACTTAAAATCAGCAAGTACTTATGACCAGTCGGCTTCAGTGAATGGTTCACCATCAGATGACTGTAAGAAGTCAGCTGAATGCTCAAACATTAAAACAGGCATGGAGCAGTCAAAAACAGTGAAAAGAGACCACAGTGATGAGATTAGCATGGACACAAAGTTAGCATCTAGTACTACAGTCCAAACACAGTTTACTGACGAGGATGCTAAAGCTTCAAACAATAAACATGTTTCTAAGAAATGCTCTGTTGTGTTGCAGAAGAAGCAACCACAAAATCTGCATCTTAAAGGTTTTGCTCAGCAAAAAGAGGCTGGTGATTCTTTTGAGAAACCTTTAAATCAAGATACCAAGCAGCCTGAAAGGGAGGGATGTGTAGTGTCTCTCAGAAAGTCAAAGAAAACATCAGCAGCAAAGAAAAAGTGTGCTGATTCAGAAAAGCCTTCAGTGCTGACTTCACAGCTGGAGGAGGAACGTCCACCCCTAAAACAGTTAAAAAAAACTCTGCAGCCTAAAGATGTTCCCCATAAATCATCAACAGATGAGTTTAAATCAGCCAGCGATGAGCAAACYAAGACTGTCCAAGAGTCTGAGTGTGATGACAAAGACAACACTGCCTCCTTAGAAATTACTACAAAGTATAAACGCTCTACCCGCTTAAAAACGGCCTCCAGCCAAAATGTTGAGAAATCCCACGAGCATGTCTCCAAAAAGGACAGATCGTTTTTGGTTCCTAAAGAGAAGAGGAGGAGGAGTATCTCCAAACACCAAACTGGGACTGCGAGAAAGGCGTGCGTGAGRGGAATGAGCGTGAATCGGTGGAAGAACAAAGGCGGGACGCTGAGGGGCAGGGCGGCAAAAACGGGCAGCGCCGAGGCGGGAGAATGCAGCATCAGTGAGCTGACCTCAACATGGCACGTTCAGCCAACGGTAAGAACAGAGTCCACAAAAAACTTCTGCAAATCCTCAAACAAACGACACTGAATAAATTTTAAAAAATTGCTTAGGTCACTCAACAACCATTTTTAGCTGCTGCAGCCATTTCATGCAGATGYTGAAAGAAGTGTCTCTGAGAGATTAGTCAGGTCTGAACCATTAGATTCATGTTACACTTACAGGCCATCTCATTGGCTGTTTGCTCCCAAAACAAAATATAGCAATTTTAATTTTCAGTAACATGTTTAAATTTAAATACAGACATTTCTTTTCTTTTCTAAAGCTTTCCAAGTAATAAACCCTTTCTCATATTTGCTTATGAAAAATTTGTTTAACAGGAAAAGATTATTAAAAATCAAGCCTGACTCGGCATAATTGCTGTTTTACAGCAGGTTCCTGTTCTGCAGCACATAAACACTCAGAATTACAGCATCACAATCACATCATTATACACCATAGACACAAAGACAAACAAGCATACCAAATTTCAAAAAGGCAGCATTTGCAAAATAGGACGTCTAAATATGAGCTCAACAAAAAGTGTCCAGCAGACGGCAGACAAGATTCTTCTTAAAGGGCTGTAGTTTTGAAAAGGACTTTATGTTTTGAGGAATGTCATTCCATGAAAAACAGTAACATAGGCCGAAATTACTACCCGATCAGGTGAGGTTCTGAAGCCAGTCAGTAGCTTGCTGTTCTTTTCTTCGCTGAATGGCGCACGCTTCAAGGCTTGAATAACATGGTTCCCACCATGTCGGACACGAGCATGCTCACCAAAACCAGTAGCTCCAGTTTGATCCTCAACCGAAAAACGGGGCATGGCTGATATTGATCCAAACAGGCAACAGGGAAGATGGTACGCATCACTTGTTAGATTAGTCGCTCCGTCCCGGCTCCCACCGCCATGCGTCCATGCTGGCAAGTCCACCCCAGGCGCTCCGTCCAAACACGAGGGACAATCCGAGGGCCGAGGGACTCCATCCACATCCGCCACTCCATGATAATGAATTCTGTCCCAATAACTTCATCTGTGTTTTACGTTCTGTTTGTAGGAGTTGGGAACTACAGCAAATTTCTCCACCCCAATAAAAGCAAATCAGCTCAGCGGTTTGTCTCTGTTCGCTGACTTTTCGCCCAGCACACACACCTGGAGCCGACTCAAAGCTTCCCTCTCTGTTCATCGTAAAGGTAAGGACGTTGCTCAGGCCGTCTGCGTTTATGACCAGTAAGATTTTATTCTCATAGTTCAAGAACTTCAAGTATAACTGTCCACATGATTATCGMTTTCTTTTCCCCTGTGATTAGTACAACTCACTCCGTCGACTTCGTCAAAGTATTGCTCTACAACAAAGTGRGAGTTAGCGGACATCAGCCGGGATCTCTTTGCCACCCCATTGCGTGCGATGCTCCCTAGATGCCTCCGGTCACAGCTGCTGCAGCAYCAATCTTTGGTACAAAACACTTGAAGCTTGTAGAGCAGCTTACTGCCACAMAGTGTTTTCTCAGTGAGTCTGATGGCAATCTGCAACCTCTTTATGTGTGTGTAACCTATTTCCCTCCAAAAAATATATTCTGTTGTAGCCTTTATGTGACGATGCCGATCTGTCGGATGCAGAGAAGGTGTATGCCGAGTGCGGCCAGCAGCACCCTCTGCCCTGGGAAGAGTGTGTTCAACCTCACCGTATGAAACGGTGTGTGAAGATTGGGGAAGGGACGTTTGGTGAGGTCTTCTCAACCACCAGTTCTTCAGGAGACACTGTGGCACTCAAAGTATGTGAATTAACTGTATTCTATCAGCCAAGTTTTACTATAAGTATACAGATTTTACTGTAGGAAACRCACTTCTATGACCAGCTTCAGAGACTTAACTCTTTTCAGATATGTTCAGTATTTATGGTCATATTCACACGATAGTCTAGTACGGTGCTTTTCAAACTTTTTAGCTTCCAGCCCACAAAATAACAGTTGCAGGCACTCGTGACCCCAGATATTACGTTTGCTTATGGAAACTTTGCTAATAATTCTGTTAAACATGGGAATAATAACAACAAAACTAATAACTACAACACTGATTTTATGATTATTATTTAAAAAAATACAATAATCATGATGAAAACATCCCATTAGCATTTTATTTCTTCATTTACAGTAGATTGTTGTCTAGAAACCATCTGGGGACCCTCACTTGATGTTTTGTGACCCACAAAAGGGTTCCAACCCCAACTTTGGGAACCACACTGGTCCAGTAGACTCYGTTCAATTGGGAACCAAAATTGCAGGAGTTGTTTACATTTTCAGTTGGTGCGGTTCGCATTCTGTACTTTGTCAAACAAACTAAAACCTGTGAACAACCTGTTCTGTGCGTCCAACMTCACAGCAGTGAATGTCCACTTCATACAGGCATCGAGTGAGGTATTTACAAGATATGAGTAACTTTATTACTACTCAGAATGACCTGTGTAGTCRGCTTCCTGCTTTTGGAGCYGTCTSCGGTCCGCTTTGCGTTCACACATGCAATCGAACCGCACCAGAGTTTGCTTCAACCGAACTGAGACTTAGGTTTTCAGGTGGACCAGAGTTCGTTTTTTCGGTCCACATCAGGGTTTAATTACGCATTCACCCTTCTGCAAACAAACTAGAGTTCGATTAACTCTAGTTAATCAGACTAAACTGGGCTGGTCTGAATACACCCAGTGTATTTTTTTTAGTCAAAGGGACAAGTAAAGTCTTTTAAAGTGGGTTTCTGTGGAAAGATTGTGAGTGTTTAATATCTTACCTGTTGTAGARGGTTCTTRGAGCGACCTCAGCTTGGAGAAATATACTTTAATTTTAACAGGATTAATGAGCAAACAGCTAGTTTGAGCAAGACCAATAACYTYCAATAGGTTGCCTTCAGGTCCAGGCTGCCGTTGCAAAAGAGATCTGCAATCTCAAAGGGYTTTCTCTGGTTAAATAACAGTAAATTAAAAAATACCAAAAAGAATCGTTGTTGTCTTTAAACTCTGATTTAAAACAAACAAACAAACAAAAAATTAGAATGCAGTTTGTGTGCTATTTTATACATCTTTACATTCTTGTCAGTTTCTCATTACACAGTTGTTTACATATATTTATACCTGTGTTTGTAAGTGCAAATGGCCGTAGGCACTTGAACTAGCTGTTAAATCAACAATCCAATTAGAATCAGTTATGTTTCCACAGAAACACATTTTTAAAGATCTGGGGCATTTTTATAAAAGATTGCACAGAATTCATACTAAAAGTGTGCATACAACCAGAAAAGAAAAAATGTTGTATGCCCAAAAAAAATCAGATTTATAAATCCATGTGCATGCACACCTTCAAGCAATTTTTCTTCATAGATCACAGCTGCACCTCAGAGTTTTCTCACAAGGGCTGTGTCTCAATTCAGGTCTCGCCTCAGGTTCTGCCCTCTACACGCCCACACTCAACCATAAATGCTCAATGCAAAGTACCTCATGAATGTTAAGGTGTATTTAAATCAGTCAGCTTATCAATGTCAACAAAAGCCATTGGCTGGCTCAGGCATGRGCTCTGTCGTGCATCTGGAGGACGGTGCTGACTGCTCACATGGACAGATTGTAATTTACACAGGTTTTCCCTCATTTTGCAGGATTACAGATGTTTAGAGCAATCACACAGATGTTTTCAAAACCTTGTCTTCAAATTTATTTTCTCTCAGAGCCTGTAGGACGTTTAAAAAAACAATAGATAAAATTAAATAACCCAACTATTGCCCCAACCGCTAGAAATAAGTTTACCACTCTTTTTCTCCGGCTTTGTGGTGCAGCCTGCACTGTTATCTGGCTCACCACTACCGGCCCGTGCTTACGTGAGGAATACAGATTTGGAAAAAGTGAACCTGATACCTTATTTCTGTTGTGTTCTGCTGTTGAATTTTCTCTTGTCGGGGAGGGGTCTGTGGGTCAGGGTCGTCTGAGGTGAAAGGAGCTGGATGGAGATGTGTGAACTTTTATTTAAGATTTAAATTGGCTTAGAATGTCWTTTTTTCTTTGAAAGGTCCTTATTTCTCACCAGCAGAAGCATAATACTGTTAAGAAAGCTTATGATAAAGTTGATCTAAAATCCAAGTCTGATTATGAAGTGAAATTAAATATCTGACAGTGATCATTAAAGTGTGGCTATAATTCATCACCTCACCACCTGCTTCCTGTCTCCAAAATGAGCGTACGCCTGGGTCAGAGCTGGCTGAGGGACCACACATTTTCACGCTAAGTTTGAGTTTTATAACTCAGAAGCTTTGTGTGAAAAGTGGCGTATTCAAGTCTCCGTTTTGTGCGTGAACAAGCTTTATCAATGTGACCCCTGAACTTCTGCTTTAATCGACTTGCTTTTATTTTCAGATCATTCCAGTAGAGGGCAGAGAGAAGGTAAACGGAGAGGACCAGAAGACCTTTGGAGAGATCCTCCATGAAATCATTATCTCAAAGTAGGTGGAACTCAAACTAATTTCACATCACATGGTTTTATTTGCTGGAATACATTGTTTCCATTTAATGAAYCATAAACCACTTCAAAGAAGTCCAGCTGAGCCACACTGAGCAGCATATTTTGTTTTGTTTTCTACCAGGGAGCTGAGCAGTCTTAAAGAGAAGCAGCAGAACCAAACTCACGGTTTTATTGGACTCATCGAGTGAGTTGTCTCTCTTTTTTTGTTTTTGRGCTCGTTAGTGTTTCAGTATGGTTTTGTCACTTTGTATGTTTTCTTTTCTCGCAGTCTTCACTGTGTTCAAGGCAGCTACCCGGCAGATTTTCTGAAAGCTTGGGATGCGTTTGACAAACGCAAAGGCTCTGAGAATGATAGACCAGGTTGGCTTAAAGAAAATAAGAGTCCTTTGAGATGCAGTTTATCTGCGTATAACTTATACTTGACCAGGGTTGTCTAATCCTGGTCCTCTAGGGCAGCTATCCTGCATGTTTTACTTGTTGTTTTTTTTCCAACTCACCTGATTCATTGACTAAATTAAACTCCTTCAGGTTTTGCAGAAGCCTGTTCATCACCCATTCATTCAAATCAGGAGTGTTGGAGCAGAAAAACTTCTAAAACATGTAGGAGAGTGGCCCTTGGGGACCAAGACTGGACACCCAAGTACTAGACGTTCATTACAAATTTTCTAATAATCTGACTTCATCCTCAGAATGATTTAAAGCACTGTTTCGGTCTGTTTCATTGTGTCTTTGCTTAGATTTTTTTGAAAATGCTCAGCTYTTCATCATCCTGGAGTTTGAGTTTGGAGGCGCTGACTTAGAGAACAGCAACGGAAAGGTGAAGAATAAAAAGTCTCATTACTATAATAAATAAATCGAAATAAAACAATTAAATAAGTTACCTAATTTAACCGGTGCATCCTTTKATTCATGGTTGGCATTTTTGTGAAGTTGGCATCATTAGGCATAGCGAAGAGCATCCTTCATCAAGTCACTGCTGCGCTGGCTGTTGCTGAGCAGACGCTGCACTTCGAACACAGGTGATGCTGCTGATGTAGTCACGTTATAAAATGTTTGCATCAGTACAATGCGCGATCTATTGTATGGTTGAAACAGTTACAAGCCTTTTCCACTTAATTCAGGGACCTCCACTGGGGTAATGTCCTGGTTAAAACAACCAATGAGAAGACAGGAAGCTTTCTTCTCAATGGAACGGCTCACAGTGTGGAAACCAAAGGCATGCTGGTTCGCATCATCGACTATTCTCTCTCCAGGGTAGAAATCGGTCAGTATTTGTTTCCTTTCTTTCCACCTGCTACTCACTGATTACTGTTGCAAACACTGATTTAGGTAATAAAAAAATTGATTGAACGATTCAACTTGTCTTTAGATGGTCTGACTGTGTCCTGTGATATCTCAAATGACGAGGAGCTSTTCCAGGGTCAGGGAGACTACCAGTTTGAAATCTACAGACTGATGAGACAGGAGAATGGGTCAGTGGTGAAATCACTCATGCATGTGTCTAACCAAMACTTTTCTGTTTAAACCATCACTTACAACTGTTATAGGCGACTTTAACAATTTCTTTTGCTTTCTTTGAAGAAARGACTGGATCACTTACAACCCCCATACTAACGTGCTCTGGCTGCACTACCTGTGTTCCAAACTGCTCTCCATGAAGTACCGGAGCCACAAGGGAAAGGCTGCCAAGACCGTGCGCGAGGAGCTGACTTGTTTCTATAACAACGTCCTCCAGTACAGATCTGCCACAGAGGCGCTGCAGAACTGCACTTTGTTTCAGTAACAATGAACACTTATGTTAGAAGCCTCCCACAGACTGTTTTAAGTCAAGAAGAGCCTTTTATGTTGATATTTCCTTGTTTAGTGCAGACAGTGTACAGTCATGTAACAGGCCAGATCAAAATAAATAAATTGTAACTTTTAGCTTTTTACACTTTTTATACTGTGGCTATTTTATTGTGCATGATTTTTTAACTGGCTTTTATTTTTGAAATATTAAAAATTTTCTTATGATCAAAACTTGACCAAGAAAAACAAATACTGGCGGAGGGCGAGTTTAACTAAAAAATCCTAATAAAAGTGACTTGAGACCTACTATATTCTTTGAGTTTATGCTTTATTAGTTCAACACCTTTATGTTGATCGTCCTTGTTTCTGTGATCCAGCAGGACCTCATGCATCAARGGWGCATACGCACAAAAACCTCGCCTATGCTCTTTTCCACTCAAAACTCCAGGGGCCTCATGTACAAAGACTTGTGGGGTTTTCTTAAYGCCCTGTCACACTAYACAACTTGTGCCAACTTATGAACATTTTAAAGATGTCTACGTTGAAGATAGAATAAAAAAAACAGGAAGCTTATTTTGGGTGTGTACATAATGTAATTCAAACAAATTGATCAAATATATAACTTATTAGCAATTAAGACATAAAAAGTGTTTCATAAGTTGTCTAGTGTGAKAGGGCCTTTACTGAAACATGGCGCGCGGTCATAAAAAACCTGATGTATTAAACCGTGCGTACACCAGAATCCACGCACATTTCTTATGTACGTTACAATCAACGTGGAACTGAGCGCCGGTGAGACACCTCCCCTGACACGCCTTTATATGCAAATTATTTCCTGCATTTGTGGTGGGTATGTTTTATCCCTGCACAATCAAATGATTTAAGATTTGGGAAACTTTTTTTGGCCGAAGTAGAAAAAAAAGACACTTAAAAAAATGTGTCCCCCACACTTTTAAGATGGTGATTACGCCCTTGGCTGTGGGGGCTGCGCACATTTCCACGTTCATTTCAGTTTTGATACAGTTTTGATACACCTGGAGTTTTGCGTGGAAAAGAGCGTTGATACATGAGGCCCTAGGTCTTTAAATTTGAACCCATCTGAACTGATAGTTTGTAACATAAATACACAACCTTAGCCTCTGAAGTTTAGAATTAACTGGATTACAGTCATTTTGTTTTCTAAGGTCACATGGTTGTGGCGGCCATCTTGATTCTGAAAGTGTTTAAAATCCATTCTCCAACGATAATTTGGTAATGCAGACAAAAAAAATTTACACCTTTTATGGTAAGTGACAAATAGTTTTAACATTCCAAAAAACAACAAAGTCCTTTAGAAAAACAAAATATGTTTATTCAACTTTTCATTAAGATTATCATACATTTTTGCATCGAAACAAACTTCCTTTAYTACGACAACTTGCGTGTCCATTCTGATGTAGGTCTCGACTGGATTTTGTTTAAACGCTTCCATACTTGAAGAGACACTTGGTTGTTGATTTAAAAAAAAAAGTTCACTTGCTTGGAATAACTTTGTGATGGGATTAGAGAAACGGTTGTGTTTTAAAAAAAGGAAGACTGCATTATAAAAAGAAGCACAAAAGAGATTTCAAACCGTATAAATAAGATCCGGCAGACGTTCTCAGAAGAGGTCAGGCATGTGTTGAGAAGCACTTTTTGGTTGAACTTTGAGGCAATGTCTGAGATGGCCTTGCTGGTGATGAGCCCATAAATACTGTATGTTGGTGTGTGTGTATCGGTGTGCTTTAAAATTTTGTTTCTCTGTTAGAAGCAGTTTGTTGAAGAAGCAATGAGCTGTATATGAGATGCACTTGCAGCAGCTGTGTCGTGGGTATTTGTGCTCAGAAGGAGAAGTATTTGGTGAACCACTCCTGCTTCAGCCCTTCAGTCCCCCTCAGCTCCAGGTACGGGCCCCTACAAGACACAAAAAATCTCATGTTCAGTCAGAACGTTGAGAAACCAACAATCAAGTAATATAAAAGGTTAGCAATTTCCCTTTAAAGGAGACATATCATGCTTTTAAATCCTTCTTTTTCACATTTAAACAGTTCAGATAGAGTCTATATAAAGTGAAACTGCAATGCTTTGGCCTGAATTCCTCCTTATTGTAGCCACACAAGCCCCTCTGTCACCCCTTTTCTGAGGTGTGTCTCAGATCAACTCGTTTTGACGCTGTCTCTTTAAAGCCAYCCAAGGCGCTTCACACCCCGCCCCCCTCAAGCTTCCAGAGTGGTCTATAGAGGAAAGTTTTCAACAACAGAAGACCAACCAGCCTTACATGTTGGCACCAGAGTCTGACCAAGAGCCAGAGGAGGATGAAGACTATGAAACTGTAGTTGGTAAATCCAGATCTTATCTGTCTGTTCTGTAGCAATTAATTTGATGTGATAGTTCAGAAAATGTCATAAAAAATAGAAAAAAGCTGAACAGGTTGAAAAATATGACCCCAAACAATATAAAGATATCTTTGCAGCACCGATTCAAATTTTACAAAACAAAATGCATTTAACGGCTAAAAAMGGGGATTTTGCATCTTAGGTTCCTTTTAAAGGGGCTAGAATGCTGCATAATCTTTAAAACACTTTGATTTTAAACTTTTTASCTTTCAGCCCACAAAAAAAATAATAATAATTGTAGAACCTCGTAACCCCAGGTACTACTGGTTTACATAAGCAAACTTTGCTAATAACTGTTAAACTAGGGCATAATAATAATAATAATAATAATAATAATAATAATAATATATTATTATTATTATTATTATTAAACCTAAGCATGCACAAATTGTTACTGTTTGCAAGGTTTATTTTCCTTTATGACATGTTTAATGTGAAATTCAATTCTAAAACTTTAATTTTACAACAGCATAAGTTTGTTAATGTGAGATTCTATGATTTCCACWTAAATGTTTTTTCTTGGTAAATACCTTTTTAAATACCTTGCAAAAATAATTTAATGTTCTACTGAATCACAGTTACATGTTATATTAGTGAAAGTGAAATAACAGCCATTATTATTTTTTATTTCTGTACCTATTTATTTGTTAAATTATTTTTCAGTCACTTCTTAGGGTAACAAAAAAAGGTGATATTAATCGAGATTGGACAATATGAAAAAATTAATTGTGATAATTTTTTTGCCATATCGCCCAGCCATACTAATAACTATGATAGTACTTTTATTCATTTATGATTAATGTTTTTTTACAGTAATTATGTTCAAGAAAATATTATTCTAAATTGTATTTAAATTGATGTTTGGAAATCATCTGGAGACCCTCACTTGATGTTTCATGACCCACAGAGGGGTCCCGACACCAACTTTGGGAACCACTGCTTTAGACTGTTTAATTTAACTGAAAAKATCAAAGAAAAATAATTTCTTAAAGAAATGCATACCTCCTGCTGCCTTGCATGCATGTAAGGCATTAAAGCAGTTTCCCACTCAATAAACAAATCGTAGCAACTCAGATCAGTGATTCTGTGTTCTCTTGTGCCATTATCCAAGCTCCTTGCAGTGGCATGGGAACCGAGGGAAAAAAAAATCACTTTCTAACATTTTGTCGGAGAAATGAAGCCCTGAAGCTCGATGTGACAACTGTACTGGGTGACGAACGTTGTGCAGCTGTTGGAGGAAGGAAGGAACACTCCTGCCTGGAGAGGTGAGGGGTTCAGCCTGCAGCAGTTTGTGGAAACTAGGTTAGGAATGAGCTCAGGAGAGGTGAGTTTCTTTCATACCTAAACGACTTCATCCAGTTGGTCAGAAAACAGCTGCAGTGAGGCCATGATTCATTTCTGCACTGATGCACCCACATGCCACTGTCAGTAGGGTTTTTTAATAGAATTACTCACTCTGATTCATCAGTCCAAAGTACACTTTTACACTTTATTTGTGTCCTTTCTTTTTTTGGATTGTGCAGGAATGCATATATTGAKATCAGTCTCCTTTGGTACATATAGTGTCTTATAGAGAGGAGTTACTAAAACAGGAGAATTTAAAGGTGAAGCACATGGTGATTACCCATGACCCCCTTTTTTATTGAAGTGTTCATACCTGATTGAATGGCCCTGGAAGTATGTGTGTGGGTCCTGGCAGGAGGGGGACACGTATCGGATGCCCGTCTGCGGCGAGGGGCAGACAGGGAGAGGAGCAGTTGGCGCCGGGGTGGGAGGGATGCAGGACGTCCGGGATCTGGTGGACCGAGGAAGGGAGGGCGAGGAATGTTGGCTCAGGGAGAGGGAGGTGTGCTTGTGTGGAAGGGAGGAGGTGGAGTAATGAGGAGAGGTGTGAGGGTGGGAGCTGGACTGGTGGGGGAGGGTCGAGGAGGAGTGTGGGTGGAGGGAGGAGGAACAAGACGAGGAGGAGGAGGAGGAATGGGGAAGGAAGATACTCCTGTCGTAGATAGAAGAGCAGTGGGTGCTGGTGACACGAGGAGGTGACTCCACYTCCTTTTTCTGTCAGAGGAACAGATTTTCAGACAGAAGAAAAATTTCAATCTGGTTTCTTCTATTATTATTTAAACCTTTACACCATCTTGAGTTTCAAATTACTCCGTTACCTCAGCAGAAATGTAATAATAGTTTTAKCAGATGTGACCCCTGGATGCTTTAGAAGTGCTAGGCCCAGTTGTTGCAGATGCRATTTGCTCTTTCCAATAACCACAGGATTGCATCTAAATAAGTTGAATATAAAACTGAAAATSTTGTAAAAGCTTGTAAAATAGTGTTTCCATGGACCACCGAGAAATGTTTGAGATTGGGGTTGTTTTAAAGAAAATGGCGATCTAACTGTCTCAGGTGCGTTTAGACAGTTAGCTCATTTTCTCCAAACTGAGGTCTTCAATGTATAAGTCAGCATCCATCATATATAGAAATATTTTGGACCTCAAACGGGAACTTGGAAGTTAAAACCAGAAAGGGATCAGTGACCCAGTAGGCTGATCCAAGGACCAGCTTTARGTCCCACTTCTATGGAGCGAAAACCTCACAAGACTCGAGTGAGCGAGCAACGTTTGTARGAGAGCTCGGATCTGCTCACATGTGAATGAGACTTTCACACGTCACACTCACCGTTTTGCTCTTACTATTTATAGGTTGTTTTGTTTTATGAAAAATGAACTAAACTAATGCTGCGTTCAAGGCTGGTGAAAAGTTGGAAATTTAAGTTTTACCACATTTACAGGGTTATTGGGAAAAATCAAACGGGTAGGTTATACTTTTTGTGGAAAAACTAGCAGAAAATTTTACTTTTCCAATAACACATTTGTTTGTTCTGATAAATTTTTAACCAACTCATTTTAGGTTGTTTATTTCAGCCGTACAGTCCACAAAATGTAGCTTTTTTGGAACCCAGTAATGTCAAGTAAGTCTAAGTGTATMTGTTTTATTTTAACTGTAGGGTTAGCTCTTGGACCAAGTCAGAAATGTATTTTTCCCAATGTCCCAGTTAATGTGGTGAAGCTCAGATCTCCCTGCTTTTCACCAGCCTTGAATGCAGCCTTACACATGCGAAAGTCGCAAAAGTCAAATTAAAGATTGGTGCACTCATGCATAGGCAAATTTTGTTGTGTGRYCACTTGCATTGTGAGACTTATTTCACTCCATAGCCCCCTATAATGAATGAGATTTAAGTACTTACATTTCCTCTTATTAAAAAATTAAAAGCCTAAGTTACTTTTTACTGGCGCTGACGCTTGTTTATTCACGTAATTCTTATCTTGTTGTTGTTATAATCAAAATATTATTATGCTTAAAAGAAAGTTTGTGTAACACCAAAACTGGATACAAGGGAGTAGGCGGGACCTAAAGCTCTGCACTGCTAGTGCACAAACMCTGGTTCCAAAAATACAGCATGGCAAACRGGGTCTTACTGGCTTTACCTCCTAAATGAGGTCTAGTATTACAGTGTAATATACTCTCAATGAGAAGTAATGCTAGATGAAACAAAGTGTTGGAGTTCTTGAAGGGCACCATGAGAGTGGTGAGCTGTCAGGTCAGAGAGCCTGAGCCACACAAACAGAATCTGGCTCCTGCTCAGYAAGTCTGACTGCAGGGAAGCACATTTTGATGAACACATGATGCTCATAGGGCGAACTGACACAACTCACCCTCATGGTTGGCGTGACGCTGCCGGGGCGGGACTTGCTGTCACGGGGCCTGAGGGGGCTGTTGTCCCCAGCAACAGGGGGGTGGAGCTGCAGCTGATGCCTCTCTTCCTGCAGGGAAGGAGGACAAGTAAGGGCCTATTCAGGATTGGTGGTGGTGTTTTTGTGTTTGTGTTGCATCTGGAGGGTGCACTTGTTCGCTGTAATCTGCCTCATGTCCCATAGCACACACAGAACCTGGTCAGAGGACACTTTGGTCAAATGCATTTATGTCCTACACAAATGACCACACATAATTAATGAGTTTCAATTGGATCCCGCGAGTCACTAAATGAAAACTCCTCAAGKATTTGCACCATAACAGCTTTCCTTTGATGAGCTTCTGCAGCAGATATTACTACTTTTCATCAAATACACTGTTGAGTGTTCACMTTTCTAATATAAAAGATAATAGTTTCTTTTTTTGTATTTGCTGGTAAGGGTTGAGACAGAAAAACCAAAGGAGTGGTTCAGCAATAAATTTTCAGAATGGAAAAGACACCCTCAGTTTAGTTCAGTTCAGTTTAGCATTTTCTACGCTTTAACACTTCTACAGCTCAACATGCAGGACATTAAAGAGCTCAAATGAATGAATAGTTGTAACTCATACAGTTTAATGACTCCCCAGCAAATTAAATCTACCCATGAGTAATGTGTAATATGGTTTCAAGGTTAAAAATCCACCTTAAACTCAAACGTTCTGACTGTTTGACAAGACAGGACATCTTTAGCATGAAGCCTTTAATTAAATGGGTATTTCATAAACACTGCCGTAAGAGTTCAGTAAAAAAAGTGATAAAAACTGAAAGTGTGACAACTACGCAGCCTAACTAGAGAAGAATCAGTTGCCTTGGTGATGCTGCGTGTTTCAGCTGCCTTTGAACAGTAATGAGCTGAAATGCTGGCAGTGAGCTCATTAGAGTCAGTTGCAGATGCACATTCAGTGGTAACTTTCTGGGAGTTTCATTAAAGTGTGTCCTCTGGGTCGTGAGATATTTCGCTAACAGGCAAACCAGCCCTCGCGCATTCACATTAAGACACAAAAATAGTTGCCTGACAATAAGAGATAAACATGAAATACACCCTTACCGGCCACTTTATTAGGTACWCCTGTCCAACTGCTCGTTAACGCAAATGTGGAATCAGCCAATCATATTATAGCAACTCAATGCATTTAGGCATGTAGACATGACCAAGATGATCTGCTGCAGTTCAAACTGAGCATCAGAAGGAGGAAGAAAGGTGATTTAAGTGACTTTGAATGTGGCATGGTTGTTGGTGCCAGACGGGCTGGTCTGAGTATTTCTGCTGATCTACTGGGATTTTCACCCACAACCATCTCRAGGGTTTACAGAGATTGGTCTGAAAAAGAGAAAATATCCAGTGAGCGGCAGTCCTGTGAGCACAAATGCCTTGTTGATGTCAGAGGTCAGAGGAGACTGGCCAGACTGGTTTGAGCTGATCGAAACGCAACAGTAGCTCAAATAACCACCCTTTACAACCGAGGTCTGCAGAAGAGCATCTCTGAACACACAACACATCGAACCTTGAGGCAGATGGGCTGCAGCAGCAGAAGACCACACCAGGTGCCACTGCTGTCAGCTAAGAACAGGAAACTGAGGCTACAATTCACAAAGGCTCACCTGAGTGTGATGAGTCAATTTCTGCTGCCACATTCGGATGGTAGGGGCAGAATTTGGCGTCAACAACATGAAAGCATGGATCCATCCTGCCTTGTATCAACGGTTCAGGCTGGTGGTGGTGCAGTGGTGTGGGGGTATTTTCCTGACATACTTTGGGCTCATTAGTACCAATTGAGCATCGTGCCAATGCCACAGCCTACCTGAGTATTGTWGCTGACCATGTCCATCCCTTTATGACCACACTGTACCCATCTTCTGATGGCTACTTCCAGCAGGATAATACTCCATGTCATAAACTGAATCATCTCAGACTGGTTTCTTAAACACAACAAGTTCACTGAATTTAAATGGCTCTACAGTCACCAGATCTCAATCCAATAGAGCATCTTTGGGATGTGGTGGAACGGGAGATTCACATCATGGATGTGCAGCCGACAAATCTGCGGCAACTGTGTGATGCCATCATGTCAATATGGACCAGAATCTCTGAGGAATGTTTCCAGTACCTTGTTGAATCTATGCCACAAAGGAATAAGGCAGTTCTGAGGGCAAAGGAGGGTCCAACCTGGTACTAGCAAGGTGTACTTAATAAAGTGTCAGGTGAGTGTAGTTTCTATTGCAACTGGGCAATTTTTAACTTGTGATAAGAAGTGACAGACATCTAAAGGAGAAATATGCTTTTAAATCCATCCTTTTCYCATTTAAATCATTTAGTTGTGGTCTATATAAAGTGGAAGTGCAATGCTTTGGTTTGAATTCCTCATTATTGTAGCTCCACACCAAATGTTAGCTCAATATCTGCCATTTCTGTGTTTTCTAAAGTCCGTCGTTTTCTCACCACTAATCGTTTGATGAGTTGGTCTCTCTCCTGAAGTCTCTCCTGAAGCCTCCCCAGCTGCAGGTCGTCACACTGCGGCTCCCTCCTCCTGCACCGTTCCTCCCGCTCGCGCAGTCTGCAGCGAAACCACAAACACACGCCGTCTCTCACACACCCGCGCTGACGTTCAACCAACAACCTGCCAAACTTCCTCCGCGTTCATCGGGATTAGTCGTCCGACTCACTCYTTTTCCAGAGCCACGATCCGAGCCTGCAGGTGGTTCTGGGCGCTGCTGTATTCAGACACCAAACTCTGCATCTCCCTCTTGTGCTCCTTCCTGATCTCCTCCAGCTCCTTCCTCCTCTTCTCCTCTTCCCGTTCTTTCCTCTTCTCTTCGCTCATCTCCTCCTCCTTGATGTCGTCGTCTTTCCTCTCCTCCCAGTGTTTCTGGGACTCCTCCAGTTTCTCCATCTCCACCCTCAGRTTCTCCACCTCCTCCTTCAGACGTTGTGCTTCTTCCTCCAGCTGAGCGTCTCTCGTCTTTTTCATGTCTGTGCTCTCTTCCTCTTTTTCCTCCACTTCTGAATTCTTCTGCACTGACCTGTGGAAAAAGCAAGTAAGGATGTGTTGGGAATTAGTCTCAGCTACTACCACACACATATTTAGCTCAGRATCTGTAAAACTYGTTGAGTTCTTCACTTCAGTTAATGTTTTACAGGAGTTAAAATTGGTTGATTCAGGCAATACTTATGCATCTTTTAAGCATGTTTAGTTTTTAATTRGTTACTTGAGGATTCAAAGTGTCTGTGACATCAAATTTTTGTAATAAATACAAATGCATTTTTAGAAAGATAACAATGATGAGTTATTCTAACTAAAGTTTCACACTGCTGAGGTGAGCAGCAGTTGAGATATTCACATGTGAAGCAACTGGAAGTGATGACAAAGGGGAACATCTGCATGTGAACAGAGCATTGCTCCAATGCTAACAACACAGATTACAGAGAATTTGATTTTTCTTTATTTTATTTTAAATATCTATCAGAGAGATGAAGAAGAGTCAGAGTTCAAATAATATTGCTTCAATAAACAAAGACAGGGAAGTTCTTTTTTCTTAAAGAGTTCTCCTTTGATGTTACTTCCTGTTTCCTTTTGGCTGAGCCAAGTTCAAAAGAAAATACACCAAAATGGATAAAGTCATGTTTATTWTGCCAAGTTTCTTAAAGGGGCAATATCATGTAAAATCAACTTTTTGAGTTTTATATCATATTATAATGTTATCTTCTCATCAAAAACATGCCCCGAGTATTGCTTTGACTCATTCATGCATGTTTGAGAAATCCTGTAGTGTCCTGAGGCAGCCAGGCAGGGGAGCAAAAATGACTGGTTGGGTCTAGAACCACCTTTTGGGCTGTGTCTCTGAACCGAGCTTCCTCATCACAGAGCACACCTCCCCCGGCCCGCCCCGCCCCGCTACCCCTTCAGGCAATCGGCCTGGTGAAAACCATGTCTGCTGAGACACCACTTCTCYGGGCAGCCAAGGAAACACTACCCCCAGCACCCCGCCTGTGACTCTTGCAAGTTGTTGGCATCAACAAAGAAAAAAAAAAAGGTCCTTTGGTCATTTTTGGATTAAACACCATTGTCACCAGCACAGGTAAGCTGAAAAACAACTCACGTTGTTTTGTTCACACTGTTGTTTGGTCTATGTGTTAATTTTTGTAACATCACAATCAGTATTTGTGTGTCTGTGTAAGCGACTGAAATAATCTTACCAGCTGTCCTCTCTGTAATCGCTCCGGTTCTTTAGTAAACGTTCTTTTCCGGTCCGACAGTAAGGTTCTTATATATCCTGAGATGCAACTTTCCAAAACCGATCTTGTATAATGTTGCTGCTTTTTTAATTATTACAACAAGAGAATGCTACAAGAGAGAAGCGGCTGTGATGGTATGATGAAACGGGCGTGACGGGATCAGAAGGAGGTTCTTAAAGAGACAGAGGCCAATTTCAAGACGTTTAGAAACAGAAATGATGAGAAGTTTATTTTTGATTTAAACAGGAAAACAGCATTTTAGGTGACAGTTACTTTATTTTGGTAGAGAATTTCAGTACATGCCTGAGAAACACATAATATTGCTCCTTTAAATGTAAAAAGTTTTCTTTGATTGTTTTGTTTTTTTTAAGGTTATGCATGTCACAGGCACTATAAAGATATATTTGCATGTTAGTTGTGTTGGTGTCTAATATAAGAGTGGGAATATTTGCATGAACTACCGTTCTGTAAGTTGCTTTTTCAGCGCCGCGTTTTCTCTCTGCAGCTCCAGCATGGCACAGCGACTCTCATCCAGCTGTCGCTCGAACACCTGGTTCTGGTTCTGCTGCTTCAGGTCCTGCACACACACACACACACACACAAACAAAAACACAATAACACAACAGAAACCCTGTCAGTGTTTGCATCAAAGATTCAGATTTCATCTTTTAATATTGTCAGTTCTGCTACACGCTGCACCGTGCTGTGTTGGCTCAGACAGCCGTGGAGGGTTTTCACTGATATGAAAGATAATAACGGTAGCGGGTATAAAGCGCTGTAATTTGCTGGAGAGTGCACACGGAGGGATTATAAATCAGCAGCGTGCACGCGGCGGGCTGGGTGTGTACACACTTGTTGCAGGGCCATCATCTGTGTGTGCGCTTGTAGCTGGGCCTGCAGGTCCTCTATCTGCTGCATGTGTCTCTGGGTCATCTGTCGGCTCCACTCGGTGTGCTGCTGGGTCAGCTCTGCGCGCTGCTTATCTGATTTCACACAGAAAACAAAACAAAAAAAAAAACTGTTTTCCCCACTGTTACCGGTACCCCGCTGCTGTTGCCARGGTGAAGCGTATCCATGGCAATCCTGATTCAGTGTTGAATTTGTAGTCTCAGACTGTATCTCAGCCTGCATGTATATGAGCTCTTTTGTCTGTGTGTGTGTGAAATACCGAGCTCCAGGTGGTGCAGTGTCTTCAGTCTGTTGATCTCAGACAGCAGGTCTTCCTTGGCCTGCCTCTCCAGTGCCTGCAGCGCTGRGGCATGGTTGTGTCTCTCCTCTGCCAGAGACTGGCTCTGAGGCTCCTGAAACACAATAATGCCCATTTACTCCTTTTTTTTCCCTTTTTTTATTTTGTGCACCACAGCTGCATTGTTTGAGGCTGCAACCCTGTAAAGGCTTKATAAATACAGATGTGCACACAGTCAGTGCAGAGCTTCAACATGCATCCATTACAACATAAAACCACCACYTTGCCTTTTCCTGCAACGCTTTCATCAAAGCTGCTAAATTATTCATCAGGGAGAAAATCTATGGAGTAGTGCGCATACTGTAGAACTGTACCAAATGTGTGTGTGTGTGTGTGTTTACCTGCAGCAGATCTCTTAGTTTCTTATTTATCTCCTTGGTGTCTTGAACCTCCTTTCTCAACCTGTCAATTTCAGGGTTGCCGTGGCAATCGTCTCCTTGTCCCGCCTTCTTCTTTTCTATCTGCAGGGATGACAGACTAAGTTCAGATTAAGTATATTTACTTAATCTGCCGTTTTTATCCATGTGTTTGGAATGATGTATTTACTCTTATTATTTTCACTGTGATTGTGGAACACATGGACTCATGCAGCTAAAATGAAACAAGAGATTTATTTTTTTTTTGGGAATGAAAGTGAATACTTAGACTTATTTAATGACAAAGCTTTGTTTATGTTGTATAATGCAATAATTGTTCAACACTTGATTTATTGTATAGACGTCTGGGGGAAAGCATGTAAAAAAATTACAAATCCCATCTTTATTTTACAGAAAAGAGCCACAAGAATTATCACCAGAAAACAATACAGTCGCTCATCAAATACATTATTTTATCAGCTGAATTTATTGAAATTTTATGAGTTGGTTGATCATAATATTTTGCAGGTCYTGTATAACGCTCATAAAAATTTATTACCTTTAAATATCCAATTAAATTTTTTTCTCAAACTTTATTAATTTCTTTAAAAATAACAAAATAAATGTATATACAATAAAAATACAAATCACAAAAAAAATGAAAGGTGGCAGAAAGAAGAAAAGAAATCTTATAGTATGTGCGCCTTTTTCTAACCAAAATTATTATTTTTTAAAATTTTAAGCGAGTAAGTAATTATAATCTTAAGGGTATAGAGATGTWTGTAAACCTCAAAATTCGCACAAATTTGAAGGATCGATGTACTGCAGTCCAAGGAATAAGACTGTGGGATAATCTGGAAAGTGATTATAAAAATGCTGACTCAATGTACTTGTTTAAGAGAATTATAAAAGTTAGTTTATTAAAGAAATATGAATTTGTATTATGCATGTGTTCATAAAAGCTGTTGTTTGGGAAGGAGTTGAAGTATTTTTTTGTTATGTTTGTTATTTGAAGATTATTATTGTTTGAATTTATATATATACATTTTTTTGGGGGGGAAAGGGGCTGATATTTATTGGATTTTTTTCTTTTTTCTGCTGCCTTTCATTTAATTTGATTTGTATTATTTGTTTTGTGTAGTATTTGTGTTGTTTTTTAAATGAAAATGAATAAACTTTTAACAAAAAAAAATACTAATACTGACTGAAAAGCTGCTGAAATTTGATGCAAAAAGTTGAAAACTGAGATGATAAAACTAAAAGCAGCAAAACACTAGCTTAAACCCTCAAAACAGATAAACAAAAGATAAGGTGAACATAGKAAAAGCTATCTAGAAGCTAACATAACAATAGCAAAAAGTTAAAAGTAGCAAAATGATAGCTAAAAGAAGCAAAACATATGATTCCTGGCCAAARGCTAAAAGTAGCAAAAGGATAACTCTAAACTTGAGTTGCAAATCTAGCAGAACTAATAGAAGCAAAATACCAACTAAAAGTATGTTGTCTAGAAGCTGAAAATATCAGAACAGTAGTTAAAAGCTAAYGGTAGCTGAATGGTAGCTAAAAGCTAAAAATGTCAAAAATCTAGCTGGAGGCTAAAAGTAGCAAAATATTAGCTCAAAGGTAATGAAATAGGATAGGAAAACAAATATAGAGCCAGACTGCTGAAGCCCAGATAAAAACTAAAGAATATAGAAGAAGATTGAAGATATCTCCATGTATTTCTATTGGGATTTTTTTTCTTTTTGAAAATAAAGTTACATGTTTTGAAAAGTAAAAAAAAGTCTGCAGAAGTAACTAGAATGCAAAAACATGCTGAAAAAAAAAACAATAATGTGAATGTTTGACAAAACTTAAGTGATTTAATACAAATTTTAATTTTTGGACATCCTGATAACTGGAKTAACTTTTTCTACGGTGATTTGAAATAAATATTTTGTTCCAATATCTTTAGCCTGCATTGGTTTTGCCAGCTGCACAGGCAGAATATTAATAATTAAGTGAGTTTGAAAAGGAAACACAAGTCAGAATGATTAAATGAGTTGGGTCTAATGCAGCTCGTATCAGAGCCTCACCTGTGCCTGCAGCTCAGTCAGCTGAGCCTGCAGCTCGGACGTCTGGGTCTGCAGCTCCTCTTCTCGGCCCTGAAACCTCTGCTCGCTCTCAGCGACGGCAGCGTTCATCTCGATCCTGAACTCAGCTCTGAGACGATCCTCACACTCAGCTCTGGAGACAAGACTCAAGAACTCAATCCAAAGTAAAGTTGCTTTATATTGGTTTAGTGCACCTGTTATTCATTGAATAATTCATTATAAAACTACCAGAAGGTTTTCACGAGGTGTACATCTAACTTTTGGAATCAGCTTAATTCAAGATGTCATAATGTAATCAATTTTAATACTGAGCTATAATTTGGTGTGGTAGTAGCTGAGATTCCCCCTCATTGAATGCTCCAAGAACTAAACGACTGCACAGATGCTACTTTTTAAATTTCTTTTTTCTTTATCTCATAATGTTTTTTTAAAGACCTATTCTGTGGGGTTGATTTCATAATGCTGCAACTACAATGTTCTTTTTTTTCTTTCTGGTAAAATATACTTGCGTTCCGTAAAGCCATATCACCCATCAGTGCAGCAAAGGGCAGAGGAAGCTTACAAGCAGAGACAAGYCTTTGTGATAAGCTGATCTGGCAGGTCCGCTACCTGATCCGCTCCTCCGTCTGCCTCTGGTTCTGCTCCAGCAGACTCCTCTCTGTGCTCGTCCGGCTCTGCTCCAGGACCTTCTCCTCCAGCCGGTGCTTGTCGGCCCTCAGGGATGCAATCTCCTTCTGTTGTCTCTCCCGCTGCCTCTCGGCCTCCTCCTGAACCCGAGCCAGTCGACTCCGAGCCTGACGGAGCTCCTCCTCCAGGCGGGAGCACTGCGCTTCGCACGACGGCGCGACTTCGGAGGTCCCTTTTTCTTTCTTGTCATTCTGCTGGATCGCAACCTCCAACCTGCAAACCTAAGAGCATGGAAATGTTCCACCATTTTCATCACACGTTTATTTTTCATATGRCTGTTAGCAAAATATCTCATGAACAATGGGACAGATTTTAATAAAACTCTCAGGAAGATATTATGGGATATTCATCTAGAAATGATTAACGTTTGGAGCCGTTCCAATTTAAGCTATCCACCACATCACCCTTAACCAACATAAAAAGGGCTATACCTCGGTCAGTTTTACAGATATCAAGCAGAAATGTGATGTGGTAGTAGCTGAGAGTCATTCATAACCCATACTCTGAGCATGATGTCTCTTATAATTTGATCTTCTGAATCTCTTACTGTTTTCAAAACTCAAGACTTTTCTTTTCTCCCATTATTTTCACTCTCTTTAATTCTGTGCTTATRTATTTCTTCTATTTTGTTATGTAACGTGACCCTGGGTTTGTGAAAGGCGCTATATACAATAAACTTATTATTATTATTATTATTATTATTATTATTACAATCTTTTAAAGGTCTGATCTTATTTTAAAACTCTGGCAGAAAAGATGAAGGGTAATGACTTTAATTTAGGAATAGTTAATCCACTATGGTGACTATTTTATATTATTATTATTAACCTTTATTTAACTCAGCAAATCCCCCTGAGATCTTTTGCAAGGCAGGCCTGGGCCTGAAGGCAGCCTAACATGCAGGGTTTTGCTGCAGAAGGAAACTGGAGAAAACCAATGCAAACATGAGGAGAACATAAAAAACTCCACACAGAAGGACCCCTGGTCCAAACTGGGGATTGAACCCAGGGCCTTCTATTGGTGAGGCAACAGTGCTAACCACCAATCCACCGTGCTGACCTCAGAGGTGGTGTCCTGCAGCTTTATCCTCAGCTCTTCTCTCTCCTTCTCCAACCTGCTGCGTAGCTCCTCAGCAGCTCTCCGCTCCTCTTCCAAACGTGCACACACCTTAAATCAAACAAACATCTTCAAAATCATTTTTTAAATCTAGTTTTTAGAGCTTAACTGCCCTGTAGCCATCTCATTCTTAATACAATGACAGGCTAGGGAAAACGAAAGGTTAAAAAGTGATCTTTTGTAAAAAGTATTGTGGCGCCATGAGCTAAAAATACACCCATTAATGATGCTTTTAGCTGTTTGTGGCCCAGATGTTTTTTTTCTGAGCAGAGACAGCTGGGTCACGGGAGGAAAAGAAGACATTTTTTATAGTATTGGTTTGTTTCTGCAYCCAAAATAATTGTGTCTGAAGTCTGTCTGAAGCTGACACTAAAATAATGAATGCATTCAGCTGAACGGGAGCCTATTTTTAAAGTTGTGATCAAAGAGTTTTCTTTTCGCTGCACAGTCTGGTGTTTTTTTTCTGTCAAATTAAAAGCATCTCCTCACTGTTAAACTCCAAATATTGATATAGTTTTAAACGTTAGGCATTCAGAAAAAATAAAAGGTTGGAGGTTTCACTGTTTTTTTTATGTGGATGCCTATTTTCCTCCCTGATTGATCAGATTGAACAGTAGTTGTGCTCCTGTGGTTTGCTGCTTTAACTCCCCCCCGGTTGTGATGTGCAGACGGGTGGGTGCTGACCTCCTGGTTGGTCTTCCTCTCCGAGCTCAGAGCCTCTTGAACGCTGTTCAGTTCCGCCGCGTGCCTCCTCATCACCTCCTCTATGGCTTTCCGCACCTGCTCCTTCAGCCGCTTCCTGTCCTCCTCCGCCTTCTCCACGAGCCTCCTCTTCTCCTCCTCCAGCTTCTGCTGCACGTTGGCTCGCTCCGTGTCCACCTGCTCCATGTTCTTGTACAGCTGGGAGCGGACTCGGACCCGCTCGACCTCCAGCTCTTTGTACAGCCGCTCGGCCTCCTCCTCCTTCTCTCTCCTCAGGCGCTCTCTCAGCTCCTCCGCCTCCCTGTGCAGCGCCGCCTTCTCCTCGTCTCTATCCCTGCGCAGTCTGCTCCTCTCCTTCTCGAGCTGCTCCTTTTCTTGCTCCCTCTCCTTCTGCAGTTTTTCCTTCTCCTTCTCGGCCTCCTTCAGCAGTTTGTCCCTTTCGTCGTCGGCGTGCTTTTGGATGRGACGCAGCTCCTCCGTCTGGGCTCTGACCATCTCTGAGCGCAGYCTGGACAGAGCCTCGGCGTGCTTGGGACACACAAACGCACCCGTCAGACGGTCGTCTTAGCTTCCCCTGCTCTGTGTTTGTTTTCACGTGCGCTACCTGTCGGATCTGCCGGGCGTGGTCGCTGTTTCGCCCGCTGCTCTGCAGCTCCAGCTCCCTGTTCCTGCTCTGCAGCCGGCTCACCTGGCTCTTCAGCTCCTCCAGCTCGGAGCAAACGCACACCTCGCAGCCCCCGCGGTTCATCAGCTCCTCTGACGGGACATAAGAAACACACAAATTAAATGAACACCACGGTGAACACAGTCACAAACATGAGCACAAGCTGGCCGAGGAACAGAAGAGGAGATGTCTAACGCTTGTTGGATTCAGGTCCAACCAGACTGTGAAATGTTGAACTCAAGTGAGATTTAAATGTGTGAATTAATAAACTGTAGTCGAGTAGAAAAGATTAGGGGATTCAAACTTAAGCTGTGTGTCACTGAGGGACCAGACAATGCTTTTTTTCAATTTCTTATTTTTCTGATTCTGGTGKGTTTCTTTGAATTACTATAGTCTCAGTTTCTTTGTATTCTGATGTGGTCTTCTGCTGTAGTCCATTCTTCAAGGTTGTTATGTATTCAGAGAGTGTTTTCTGTCGATCTTTGTTTGTAAGTATTTTTTTCTTTGAGCTAGTCTTGCCTTTCTGTTATCTCAAACCAGTCTGCCTATTCTCCTCTGGAATCTTTAAGGCATTTTTTGTCCACACAACTGCTGCTCACTGAATATTTTATCTTCTTCAGACCTTTTTTTTTTTTGTAAATCCTAGAGGTTGATGTGTGTAAAAATCCCAGTAGATCAGTAATTTCTGAAATACTCAGAAGTCACCTAAACCCCTCGTTTTTTTTTAAATCTGATGCCCAGTTTGAATTWCAGCAAGTTGTCTTCACCACAGGCATAGTTTTTTTATATAAAATATATAAATTATTTGTTAATCAAAATTCTTTGCCTCCAAAGAGAGTAAATTTATCTTTGTGGACCTGCTTTACAGTAATAAAGAGAGCATCAACCCCTGACAGGAACTGACGCCACAGAGCAATCATCAAAAAGGGGAATTATTTTCACCTTGTTAGCATAGACCAGGGCTATTCAACAGGTGGCCCGCGGGCCACATCCGGCCCGCGATTGACCAAAGTTCGGCCTGTCAATTGTTTCATTCATCTCTTAAGCGTAACCCCCCCGATTTTCTACTTTAATTACTGCGAGTTCTTTTAGTTAAACATAGACATGTTTGGTATCTAAAGTAACGTCAGAATCGTGGCTAAAAGCAGGTAAAAACTATTTTTATGAACGTTCGAGACAGTTAAAACTACAAGCAGTTGAAGATAAAACTATGAAAGTGAAAATAAAATTGGTTTGAAAATTCGGCAAGTCTGAGATGTCAAAATTATATTTGTGTTAAACAGGAGGTGCTATTTCTGTTTATGATATTGTTTTTTATTATCACTACATTTATTAGGGTTCTGRAGGTCGTATTCACGATTAAATGCAGCCAAATAAACCTTTTACCTGCTCTGCTCTGCAGCTCGTCCTCCTGCAGCAGCAGCCTCTCCTTGGCGACCGCTAGCTCCTCCTCCGCCCGTTTAACCACGCCCTCTGCCTCCAACACACGCTTTCGATCCAGCTCCAGCTCCTCCTCCAAATCCTGAATTGGGGACGTAAAGGTGGTGATGCAGAGCGGGGGGAAAAAAAAGAAGCTGACAAAAAATTGACACAGATAAGGAGGAAGAGAAAAAAAAGTGAGATAAAAAGAGTGTGTGGGCTGAAAAGTGAATTCAGGGAACTCAGTTGCCCAGTTGTGAGTCCTTAATGGTCTGCTGTGGGGGGGGCTTATGTCAGCTTCGTGCCAGCTCTCACAGGCCTTCTAAATGCTCGTTTGTGAGTTGGTAATGGTGGCTTTGCAGTGAATCTATCCGGCTCAAGCTACTCATTAGCAGAGAGTTGGGAGCAGCACTCAGGGAGGGCAGCCTGTGGTTAGCCTACCATGACCTCTCTCCCATCAACACAACCATTAGGTGGCATGGAGAACAGGCAGCTGCAACATTCAGGGATATTTTCACTTCTTGTTCCTCAGAGGTTAAAGAGGACAGAGCTCTTTGTGTGTGCGTACCTGGATTCTCTCCTGGAGTTTCACCGTGTTTCTCTTGTTCTCAGACAGCCTCTCTAAGTGACCTTCTACCTCTGCTTCAGCCCTCTTCACTCGTTCTCTCAGAGCGCTGTGCATCCCTTTCTTCTCCTCCTCCTCCCTCTCTTCCCACCTCTGCCGCTCCTCCCTCCACTCCGCCTCTATCTTCTTCCTCATCCCCTCCTTCTCCTTGGTTAGGTCGCTCAGCTTCCGCTCCCACCGCTCCCGCTCCTCCTTGACAGCGCGCCTCTTCTCCTCCTCGGCCCMTTCGCCCTCCTCCCTCAGCGCCGTCAGCTCCTCCAGGAGAGCCTTCTCCCGTTCCAGGTCCTCGTTCTTTTCTGTTCTCCTCTCCTCCTCCTGTTTCTCCTTCTCCTCGTCCTCCTGTCGCCTCTCCTCCCGTTTCCTCTTTTGCTCCACGTCCGCCGCTTCCTGGAGCTCCTCAAATTTGACGCTCAGCTCCTGGACCTGCTCCCCGGCTCGCTCCAGCTCCTTGCCCAGTCTCAGGTTCTCCTCCTGCGCGGCACTGAGCTCCGTCTTGGCGAAGAGGAGCTCCTCCTCGGCGACCTGGAGCTTCTCCTCGAACTCTTTCCTCAGCTCCGACTCGGTCTCGCGCTCCCTCTCCTCCGCCTGAAGGCGGAAGAACTCAAAGTCGGCCTGTACCTGGAAGCAGAGAGGATGAAAAGTTCTGCTGCATGTTCGACTTACAGAGGATCCAGATTARGGAAAAGTTGGAATGTTTCAAAAACAGATTGCAAATCTCACAAACCAAAATTTTAATCACAATTCATCAGAGAGAACATATCAGATATTTATACTAAGAAATTGTACCAGCTGTGGAAAAATTAATAATTTTAGATTTGATGGCAGCAACTCATAAAAATAGGAACAGGGTGACGAAAGGCTGCAAAAACAAGTAAAAAAAAAAAAAAAACAGCTAGAGAGGCATTTTGCGAAGAATTAGGTT